AACACAGGTTTGCATGAACATGTCCATGATGAGCAAGCATGAAGCGAAAGTGGACAGGAAAAAAAATCCCCAGAAACAGGCTTAACATGCCGGTCTTCTGCTGGACCAATTGAGATGTGACGAGGATGCAGTAAGAGTCCCAGAGGTATTATACTCTGATAGGGACGAGGTTGAAGAAGCACCATGGAAAAGCTAGATGTAGATTAGCTACAATGATGGAGAAGGGATGGAGGTGGGTTGAATCAGGGTCATCTGAATTGAAATTAGACATAGAGCTACAACTGCTTGCATTTTAGCTGGGTAGCAGGTTGAGTCGTGGATTTCTAAGAGTTTTTAGGATGAATTCTGCATGCTGACTGGGCTTCGTGGAGGTGCGGTTCAAAGCTGATTGGCTTGCGTCAGAGGTGGATGAGCCTCTGATGAATGAGGGTTAGTAATTTAGTTTCTTCAGTGGATAGTCCGTCTAGGCTTCATTTAAACAGTTTGTCCTGAGTGACCTCCTCTCAGGAAAATAAGTAGAGTGAGAGAGAATGCCTTAAGGTGTAAACACAAAGCTGTCCTTAACAAAATTATTGGAAAAAAAAAAAAAAACTCAAAATGTATGAATGCAGTCACCACCATTGTCAGAAAACATGAAACAAAAATGATAAAAGATCAAGCCTGACAACACTGAATGACAGGCAGGAATTTCTTTCCCCATGTTATACATGTGACATCAATCTGTAGACCTAATATTTCTTCACTCAGAAGTCCAGTGAAACTTTTTTTGTTGTTGCTTTCTATGGTATCCTAATATTGAACTATCAAAATTTTCAAAAACATATTTTTCTTAATTAACATTTTACTGCTTTATGACACTGTGAACACTTCATTGTCCCTCAATCACTGAAAAAGGTTACTCTTGTTAGATTATATTCCACTTTTTAGTTACTGCAATGCTGTCATAGAATAGTGACCTGTCCAAGTGTCGCCCAATTTCTCCCATAGAGAAAGTGCCTGGAGATGGTCACCAGCTCCACCGCCACCCCGATAAATAGCCTATAGTCTTTTATCTGCAAAACAGCTTAAGTGATTATCAAATAACATTTCTAGTAGGAATGTGTTTTTTTTCAGATGTTTTTTGTGATAAGCTTAGTTTTTTATTCTAACTTTATACTTAATTAACATAGTTTTATTAAACACCAAAGAAGTAAAACAGGATGATTTCTTTACATTTTAAACACTTTAAAATAGTTGCATCCTCAGGATTTATAATTACTTTTACAGCTTGAAATTTACTTGTTAATTTAGCCTTGACTAAAAATAAATCACTCAATTTGCTATATTCCATGTTTTCCTTTTGTGGCTTTTGTCAATTGATGCCATTTAACCTGCATCAAGGTTTTACCAGCATAAAATGTGTTAGAAGACTTTCCTACTTTGTTTTATCATTAGAATACTTAGGCAACGTGTTGACATACTTGATGCGTTAGGAATTTAACAGGAGCACTAACCATCTAATTTTAACATTCTTCATTTGCACTAAGAAGCTAAAGAAGAGGAATTTCATTCTGCTGTCTTCTCAGTGTGCTCCATTTGTTTAAAAGATTCACAGAAGACATCTGTGCTGAATATTCCTTGTGCATGAAATTAATTCCTGAAAACAATTCCCCTAAAATAAACTCTTTAAAATTTGCAGTTATTTGGTGTACCCTTTTTTTGTCTTCTTTCTTTGATTCCCTCGACACCAATGGTATTTCAGTTTTATGTTTAAAGTCCAAAAACTGCATCTAAATACTATTGAAAGTTGCATATATATATATATATATATATATATATATATATATATATATATATATATATATATATATATATATATATATATATATATATATATATATATATATATATATATATATTATATATATATATATTAAACTAGTATATTAAGAGAGTATAATTCATGCACGTCATAAAACCTGTTTCAGATATATGCAACCTTGCAAAAGTTGCGCGTATTTTTAGGTATATCAGATTGCTAGCAGTGCATCATATGTCCTTTATTCAGAAAATTTTTTCTATAGCTACTTGTAACAAAAGAAAGATTTGTTAAATGCATTTCTAATAATTGATTCACTCTATTTATTAATGTTGTGTCTAAAACTTCCAAGAACTGTTGTAAGATTGACTTTATTTACTAATTAGATGCTTTTTGAAGGCAATTGGTTGATCTAATTTTGTTTTACAGGTAAATAGGTAGCGGCTAAATGCAAATGCAATGCCCACTTCTGTACTTAAAAAGTACACCCATTGAAGTATGTTTATCACATTGAATCAAAACAAACTACATTCTGCTATAATAGATAATGAATTTGGCAGGAAACATTTGTTCTAAACTGTAATGACTTCGGTGCAGGGGTATATATGTTCAGTGGTGTTTGCGGCTCTGCACTTTTCAAATCATTTTGCCCATGCCATTTACTCTGACAGTAAAGGTGTTGGTGATGCTAAGTGGAGGTTCTAAGCTAGCTTGAAGACGGGGACAACAGCAGAGAGAGGGAGGAGAGAAGGTGGGATGAGGAGACAAAAGAAGATTGAAAGAGTAAAATCTTTAACACAGGAGCTGAAACTGGTTAGACAGCAAGCAGCATGAGAAATCAGTGTGCTACAGACATACACATGCTCAGCCACACTATCATAGCTTCTCAGTGGGGGCCTCAATGTAATTTACAGTGAGCAGGTGGGGATGGATGTTCAATCTGATTCAATTTGATGTGGCTCGCAGTGGAGTGGGATGAGACACCACTCATTCCACTAACTGTTGTGATCATTTTTGTCTACCACTCTTTCTTTGTAGCCAGAGTCACATTCCCTCTACCTTTGGCTTTCTTCCTGTGTGCCTCCCCTTATCTCCACCTAACACTCACATTTTCTGTAGTTATTTTCAAAGAATTCTTTTAGCTGCATGTCATTATGTCTGTCATCGCATCCATCAATCTACAGCATTTTTCTTTCGAAAACAAGAGTTAAAGCTTTGTGTCAAAATAAATAAATATACACGCCTCACAAATCATATCAAGTTTTCTCTTCCTCTAAGGGCATTAAACTGTATGACATATTTTAGGAAGTTTGGTAAAATATTCACTCTCAGTGATATCTTCAAAGGGCCTGACTATGATCTAACAGGGACAAATTCATATGATATTGAAAGAAATTTGCTTTGGAAAATGCTCAAAGCTAAGAAAGAACTCAATTGGCAATCATTAAATACAGGCTAGACCTTTTCTTATGCATGACTTAAACTTAGACTTAACTTTATTTATTCCTTGGGATTACTCATTCAGGGAATTTCTCGTTCCAGTAGGTTATATAGAGTACAACGAGTTAAAGCAAGATGCCATTAAAGATAAAATTACGACAGAAAATATAAAAAGAGTGTACATAGTACCGAAAAGAATAAAAAAAAAGAAAAAAGTTGTAATGTCCTGGAATATGTTTCCCTTAGATATAAAAATATCTGCACAGTAGAGAGCTAAGAGAAGACTACAAAGTAGTTGATTTGGGTTATTGCACTTGTGCTGCAGGAATGTACTCACCTTATAAATAAGTAAAACAAATTAAACAGGCTACACAGTAGTTGGCACGTGTTATTGCACAGTGAGAGAGAAGAATATTTTACATGAGTGACAATAGGTAATTTTTTTTCATAAGATGACCAAGGATGGAGGTGCTGACCCTTGACCCTCTTCCTATCACCTCCTCCTTACCACAAAAGAGGATTTGTACAGTTGATGGTTTGGGGAATAAAGGAGTTCAGCTGTGTGCTGGTCCTGCATTTGGGGAGGAGCAATCTCTCATTGATAAGGCTCCTCTGAGTGGTGAAGACAGTGTAATGACTAACCTGTATGACGTAATGTATTTTACTGAGTGGGAAACATGGTTCATCATTATGCCATAAAAAGTGGAGAGGTCTTATTAACTTTAAAACTTTGAATATCATCATATTGTTTCAATATTTATTGACAGTTGTTTAACTGGTGATACTAACTAGTGTATCAGTCATGCCTTAAGAACATCACTATTATGCCTTTTACAACTGCATGGCAGCTACTGCCTGTAAAATGAATCTGAAAAGTGAAGGAATGCAACAGATGATGACAGATTTCACACAAAGTTCAGAGGTTCATTGTTGCTCTTGCAGAATGTGTGCGGCAGTCGCCATCCTGTGTGGTCTTTTAGTGAAGGAGTGAATGACTAAAATCACTGTGGTAAATGGGGTAATCAGATTTCTTTCAATTTAGTTTTAATTGAGGAGCCGGCAGCCACCTGATGCCAGTGATTAAAACCGATACAGTGCATTAACTTAATACGGTGAATAAGCAGTTTCCTTAGAAATATTAAGTGGCTGTTCTTTATTAGGAAATAATAGATGCCCTGCAGCCAGTCAGAGCTGAGTGTTACAAAGGTTTTGAATTAGTTTATGAATAAATAGGGTGTAGAAATGAGTGACCAACAATGTTAAGTATACGCTATAGCCAGAGCATTGACCTTGAATGTGTTTTTTGTTATTGGAATAATATATGTTTCTTATATGTTAGCATGTTTTTGGACTTGTTTCAATTTGTAATCTGTATATGTAGTGTGAACTTTCTGTAAAATACTGAAAAAAGCAAGTCCAGTTCAATTAAATTGCGAATATTTAACTGTATTTGAATTCAAAAATCTTTTATCTCAACACAATAGGTAAACATATTCTTGATTTATCCATTTTTTAAAAGGTTTAATCTCAGCTTTTTTTCTTTAACACCCTCTGATAATTTAGGGTGTTTTCTAGGGGAATTTGTTTCAAAAACATTTCTTATATAGAATTCTTATATAAAACATTTTCACAATTGTTTTGGAAGTCTTGAGTCCCATTGAAAATTTCTCCTTAATTTATACCTCATCATCCTTTTTTTCCCCCTATGCTTTTATCCCTTCCTGTTTGTCTCTCTGTGTTGTTACAAAATTTGGTCTAATAGGTTGTTCAGTATCCCAAGCCTCTCAAGTGGTTACGGTGATGTGTAGCGTGGAGCTGTCAGGCTGTGAGGATCCAGATTTGGACAATGAAATAACTGCGCATCTTATGCACAACATGGAGCAGGAGCTAAAACTTGTGGCAAATACACAGTTCAACTGTAAATAACTCTGTTAGCAATATCTTCAAGACATGTTAAGCTATTGCAAACTGACATATAACTACTGATTGATCTTCTTTTATATCTGTTTTTATAAAAACTATCCAAGATTTAGGAATGGATACAGGAGACAGTGGGAAGGAAATCCAAGATGAGAGCGGTCATTTTAAATGGTATGTAACATTCAGCTGGCCACTTTCAACACATAAGCTGCAAACTGTATACTATACATCCTGTTATCCCTATTCTTTACAAACATAATGTTTGAAAATATAACAGTGCAGAATTCTTCAGTACAGTCATTGCCACTAAGCTTCATTGTAGTCATGGTGTTTAGTGCCTAGTGATGTGCAATTTCCAATTTCCTTCAAATGTGGCATATGGCATTCACACCATCTGTTTAATTTGGGATTTAAACGACAAAATGTTAAAAAGTATTATTATCTAAGACCAAGGTAACTACTATCTGCCTCCTTTTAAAAGACTTTTCAAAGACAAAAACTTTTGTTTCATCTGCTATCAAAGCAGAAAACTTAAATTCATCCAAGTTTTTCACCCTTAGATATCCGTGTAGCCTTTGTGACAGGGGAAATTAATCATATACTGTCTGATAATTCTACCAATTTAAACCAATATACAGTATAGTAAAGATATTTGGCCCCAACACGTATATTTCTGGTATTCCACAAGTAAAGCTTAAAGAAGATTTATCATGAGCGTGAACTAACATAGATCTGTGAGATAAATAAGATTTAAACAAGGCTTGTGCTGTTCCCTTAATTCCCACTGAATGTTCGAGCCTTTCTCAAAAGAATAATGTCATCACCTTTATATTATGTAGAACTAAAATATAACAGGAAAAATACCGACCCAAATGTGTTGTTTCAGTGCTATATTATGAGCTTTCAAACCCAATTTAAAAAGTGAATGATTACTTGGCAACAGATGGAAAAATATTTTTTTAAACTGAAAAAAAATATGGAAAACTGATAAAGAAAGAAACTGTAAACTAATTTTGAAACTAAAAAAGAAAAGAAATTTAAAACTGAGAATACATATTTAAAACTATTGCTATTTTTTTTTCCATTTGCAGATTTTTTTTTAAAGTTTGGCCTTAGAAGACATGGAGATGTAAGTCTCTGGCAGGTGTCTTGGCAAAATAATCCTAGCTCTTGCATTCAGGATTTGTGGGAATATACATATCTTTAAAACATGATTGATCTTCTATGTTCATGTGACCTGGATAAAACAATCACATTCTTTAGTAATCAATAGATATTTTAGGACATACATAATGGACATATATAATGTCAACTTTATCCCTTTCTTTTAGAAAATACTTCTTATATAACCTGGTTTAAGTTTGGCACGTCCATGCAGCAAAATTACACCTTTTTAATAGCAAGGCCCTGAATTTCAGCAGCGCACACCTAGAAAAGCAACTCCAGCAAATTTGTTCATGATAACTTAATAGGATTTCTTTCCAGTGTTGCACAGATAACACAATAGTAATACCTCCAGCTGCCAGTGTCCTGCTGAAATATGTCACCAGTTTTTTTCTGAAGTTTTAATCAAGGAATGAGTGCTGTATGTGGATGATGTTCAACCTTTAATTGGTTGATTTGATCTTTTAGGGATGTGCCCAGCAAGAAACATGACCCCGAGGAGGAGACTCTAGATGGAGATCGACAGAGTGTCCTCTTACTGCCATGACTCACCCTGTCAAGCAGAGACAAGCAAAAAAAAAAGTTCATATTTGATGTTAATTATTTTCATCAGTTGTTTTGCAGATGCGTTTCCTCACACTTATATAAAATGAAGAGTTTAATAAGTTATGTATTTTCTCTAATTATATGCGATATGCGTGTGCCTCGCTTCTGTGCACCATGTTTATGTTAATCATTTGGGTGTTCTGTGCCTTTCAGTGAGACGCATGCCTCTAGAAGGATTAGCTGAAGGAATAACACAATTTGACATGCAAGGGATGACGATGGGAAGGGAGGTGACGGGAAGACAAATGGTGTCTTTTCCTTTATTCTCAGCAAGTGCCTGCCTGGAACCCTCTGACTATGTGTTTGTAAGGATGTGGGTGTGTGTAAGTGTGGGGGGGGGAGGGTTGTTTTGGGGCTCTTTAAGACTTGAGTTAAAAGGACAGACATTGAGGGACGGCTGGCACGGAGACAGGATTTTTATTTCCTTATGGGGGTAAGGAAGAACATTTTCTCTGTTGTCACTACTTTGTTCCTTAATAAGGTTACGGTGGCACTGGATCAGGTCAGACTGTCTTCACATACACGTGTATGTACTGAGTAAACTCATGTAGATGATAAATTAGAGAGGAAAAAGGAACTGTGCCAGTGGGTGCTGCTTCTGCCATCTCTCTGCATGTTTGCAGCAGTGGAGGAAGAATAACACCAGGCACACAAACAGGTTTGTCGTCTCTGCGGCGAAAGCGCAGATGCTCCAACGCTGTGTGCTAGCGTGTATGTTCCTCCCTTCCGCTGTTTTCCATTATTCCCTGCAGCCAGTCCTAATCTATCATGGCCGCCAATGTCCTCGGCTGAGATCACTACCCAACCTCCACCACTTTATCTCCAGCTGATATGCATTTGAGGATCAAACGAGAACAAACAGGTGGAAAATCACGCTTGCATTACAAAGCCAACACACACCAAAACTGAAATTCAATAGACGCTAACTTCGTGATGGAATTTCAAATTAGTTTGTGAACTGCTTATTGTGTGTGGTAAATGTGAGTCCGCACAGCTCTGCTCTTTACTCAGTAACTGTGGAGGTATATAAGGGCATTTTTTGGGCCTGACGTTAATCGCTAGAAGCAGACAGCAAAAGCCCTGTAATCCAACAGCAATTACCACAAGGCTGATTGATAGCATGGGGACAGAAGGAGACAGACAGAGAGACCAAGAGATAGACAAGGAGAGAGAGGTGAAATGGTAGATCTTTGTTATTGTGTCCTTCACTGAGTTTATCACTTAATGTTTAGAAGAGGAAAATAACAGAGACATAAATCTGATGGATATCGAACCACTAGGCTGAGTTTAAACAACTCTGAGATCTATGCAGTCCATTTCTTTCTTTCTTTTCTGTCTCCTTCACTAGCACAGTCTCATTCAGACCCTCATCCACATGCATACAAACATACAAACAAGTTTAGAGAAGCAGGGGTGACCTTTGTTAGATTTATAGCTGTCTGTTAAGCTTTATTTACTGACAGAACGAGTAAAACTCAAGAAGCTGACATTTAAGTCTATATTAAAGTACTTGGAAGCCCACTCTTATTGTGTCATAAAAAACAACAGAATTGTCCAAGATCCTGAAATCAAAATTTTTAAACCACAAAAAAATTACTAATAATATTATGTTTGAATATAAAAAGTCAGAATTAAAACTAATGGTAGTTTTAATAGTTAAATACACTTTTCTACTGCTCTGTCCACGAGTTATGATTATTTTTTGATACGTCTGATTTTTCTTTTGCTTCAGAAAATAAAAATTACCTGATAAAAATCATTTAGATTTTCCTAATGATAAATGGCAACCAGGATCCTTATGCCTAAAGAATTGTGTGGATTTGCTGCTGAAAGCATGTTTGTAAAATTCAGGAAAGTGTTTATGCACTAAAAAAAAAAAAAAACAATCTGCATGTGGGAACAAGAGGAACTTTATGGAAATTATATGATTTTTAACTCATATTTTATGTATTCTACATTATTATTGTACATTAAAAAATGTGGTTGTTCAACCCAGTGTTTTAGTAATAATGACATAATGATGTTTATTAAAGACAAAAATAAACAAAAATACATTCAAAATAATAAATCACAGGAGAATTTGTTTTCTTAAAGGAGTCATAACCAACTATTTTTACCCTCTGTATACAATGTTTCTGAAATTGTCTTTAAATTTATATTCATTTATTTTTTTAGTGGAAAAAATATTTAACCACCGTAGTGCTTATTCAGATTTTTTATACCCTTTTTTCTCTCTCTAGGGTTTGTATAAAAAGTTGACTCGTATGTTTGTGTGTTGATACCAGTATATTAACACCTTTCCCATGGATCATTTTTTTATTTTTTCTCAATGCCTTACACCATGTGTAAAAGGTTAGACAAGCAGCAACACTTACCAACCCTAGATGTTGAAATAGCCCCTATTGGTGATATTGAGCTGAGTCTGATGAAAGTAGATGGGATAATTTTAGCAGCATTCCACAAATTATGTAAATCAAGTAGGAGGACCAAAATGTTACTATGATGGGAGAATGGGCTTGTGGGCTTTTCTTGTTTGAACACAAAGCCTTGGCTGGCAGATTTTAACTAACACCGACACCCACATTTAGACATTTACCTGGTGATGTCGAGTTAATCACCAGGTGAACACCTTTAATTTAGGCCCAGTTAAACTTAGAACTTCACCATGTAACTTTTTTAAAATCTTTATTTAGTTTACCTGAAACCTTTTAAGGGTATTCTAACACTCTTAGGGACAAAAAACTAATGCTGAGCAAAGATTCATTGTGATGAAGTAATAACAACCTGGCCTTCACTGTCAGTCTTAACATGGCATAAGACTCAGGACCTTTTTAGATCAGAAGCTTTAAAACTCTTCATAAACAAAATTCTCATTAAGGTGATCTTTTCTTGCTTTATAATATTAATAATAATAATAATAATATTTCTGAACAACCTTTCCCCATACTCATTATAAAATCTCTTTTATTTCCTTCAATGAAGCTTATTTGTTATGGAAGGTAGCTAGCTACTGTATCAGAACTCCAGTGTTTCACTGAATATATTTATAGTTGAACTGAGAACAAATTGAATTTAAAATTTGATCATGAAAATCTTAAACTACATTACAGATGTAATTCTGGTCTGATTTATTTATTTATTTTTTGTATATATATTTTTATGAGGAACATCAAAAGATAATACACCTACTGAAGAAAATGTGCTTTACTCTAAATGCTAGATCACACTTTCAGTATCTTTTGGATATTCCAAAGTAACATTATATGATTGTAGCTTTAATTTCAGTTTATTCTGTCAGTGTTGTCATGCCTAGTAATGCAGAAAATTATTAATTAAAGCGTGTCCACCTTCAACCTTAATGGTGCGCCAAGAATGAAGCATACAGCATCAGTCCTCTGAAATTTCACTCATAAATCTCTTCATGTATGCAAACTACATCATCTCAGTATGAATAAGTGGCTCCTTTTCATTTTGGCTTTCAGGTTGGAGGCATATTTGCTGCAAGTGCAGCTATCTAATCATGTCCCATGTTGTCTGTTTCAAGCTTGGTGCCTCATTATAGGAAGAAGAAGCAATGTCTTCTATGTCTTTGTGAAATATAAAAAAAAAAGCTTCACAGCTACTTAGTTCGTGCTAGCTGCTTTCTGTGTGTCTTCCTTATTATTCCCAGGTTGTGAATAGATATATCAGTATGGTGTTACACAGGTGTGGTATAATGGGCAATCTTGTTTTGCACACGTAGGACATTCACCAGAAAGACTTTTAGAGGATGCATTAGGATTCCACTATTCGCTAAACGCAAATTCCCGGTTCATGGTCAGCATTATTATTTTTTCCCCTTACTGTGTCCCTGCTGTGTTTTCTCATGTTGTAGCCTGTCCAGTTTTTACTTAGTTGTCAGTTATAACTTTCAAGGTTATAGCCTCATCTATGCCTAAATGACCCCCATATGGTGGAAATGGAAGTACTTTTTGCCCTGGACAGAAAGTTCAGGCGAGGGAGTTATAATAGAAGGGAGGAGAGAGGGATATGAAGTGAGGAAATATAAAGAACAAAGAGGTTGTGGTGGTAGAGGAAAGAAATTAAAGAAAGGTCAACTGAGGACGAGAGAGAAATGGAGTGACATTAAGGGAGGGAGAATGCTAGTTTGATAAGGAAATGTATTTTCCACTCTACTCTCACTACCTGCTTTATACAGGCCTACATTTATCTCTGCTCTGCTCCTGACGTTGTCCTTTTACTCCTATTCAATCACTCCACCTAAAACCATTCCCTACATACTCCTCCTTAGTCTTCCCCACCTTCACACTGTCTCCATGGTTTCTCTGCTCAGCTATGCTCATCTTTTTTCCCTTGTGCACATCTTTCTGTTTCATTCCTCTCCTTTTCCAATCCCTGCCTTGCCTTCAGCCCTGTGGCAGTCGGGGTGCTGTTGTCGAATCAGTAGGACCAGCTGGCAAATCGATACATCACTGTAATTGATTTTGTCGGGTCTCAAAGTGTTTAATAAGAGCAACCCCCTCCCCTCCCCATCTTCGTCACCTCCTCCCTTTTGCATGTGAGCTTTATCGAGGTCCAGTTTAACGGTTAATGGAGGTATCCATGTGCAACGAAGTGCTAAAAGTGGTGGGTGAGTAAAGGGAGCTGGGGTTGTAAGACAGGTGAGGCGAGGCAGTGCTGGTGGAGGGGTGGGATGTACTGGAGGTTAATTAGAGGATTTCTCTAGGTGATGGATTGGTTCAGCTGGTTAATTAGGACAGGTAAAGGCTACAGGAGATCTAAAATGTGTCTGGCCTTTGGAGAGTAGCACTTTGTGGGAATTAAGAATGTGTTCATTTAAATTTGTGCATGTTTGGAATGGTACCTATTACCTATTTCAGTGCTTGATCACAGACTCTAAAGATCAATAAGTTTTGGGTACTTGGTCAAGTTATTCCAGTGGTTTAATCAAAAATGATGCTCATACACATACTTAGCACACATAGATACGGTGACATGTGGTGAAGGTCATGAGATGTGATGCACTGAATCTTCTTGAGCAGGAAGCATCAAATATGTGCACCACAATTAATTTGAACTGCTCTTTGATTAAAACATTTAGTTTTATTTTTTGCATACTTTAAATCTCCAGTGTAAGATTTTAACGCTGGCACACCTTCTAGTGGTGAGCTAAATGAATTACACACGACTTTGCAGCGATACCTTAGACTGAATCTGTGGAGTGTCATAAATAAATGTGAGGATGTCAACCCCCTGCACAAGTTAGCGTGTCCTGTCAGGAGCCTATCTATCTGTAACCGTAACGTCCTC